TCATCAGTAGTGTTGCTAAATTCTTTAATTGAATTAGTTCCCTCTCTTTCTTCCTTCACTCTTTCTAACATTCATAAGCTGATTTTTCAGGAAAAGATGTTTTTGAGGCGTTTTACAAAAAAGATCTAGCGAAAAGATTACTGTTGGGACGGAGCGCATCCGTGGATGCTGAAAAATCGATGCTTTCAAAATTAAAGCAAGGTTGGTTGTTGTCATCGTTATAGTTTTTATAAATTATCACGAGAATGCCATCGTTAGCTTATTTGAAATAATACAGTTGCGCTACGTGTGATTATCTCCTTTAGTCGTCGGTGATCGAATTTCCTCCTCTTATTTGCTATCTACGAAAAGCAAGTGTACCTGGAAATAGCTGGAGTTGTAGCATTTGCCAAAAGCAACATATTAGTTTTCGCGGCTGTCGATGATTCCCTCTTTTTTGAGTTATTTACAAGCGAGCTGATGGCAGGTTTGACTTCCTAGTATGCGCAGTACCTGTTGCATCATGATTCCTTCCTAGGTAGGGCATGTATAATGGCACGAAGCTGCCTATATGAGGCCGCTCTTTCTGTGTTAAAAGTGTTATGTTGTGTTGGCGGCCCTGACGGCCAGCAGAGGACGCGAACCCTCCTAACCCGAATCATCACCGAGGAACCGACGACCCAAACAACGATCTGAAAAGGCCCCGGAGCACAGGGTCAGCGGACGAGACCTCCGAAGTCCCAGCCCAAAAGTACCAACTGACCACTGAAATGAATATACGATTGGTGGAGGGAAAGTTCGACTGTCTTCGCGTTTTGATCGATCCAAGGGAACTGAATAGCACCGTGTCTTTGCCTGTGTTTTCATCATATCTACAGTACACTGCGCTTGTTTAGAGTGTGGAGCGGGATTTACAAAACGACTGGAAGGGATGTTCAAAGATATGGAACTCTCAAAAGATCTTGCCACTGCATTTAAACAGGTTTTTCATCTTTCAAGGAAACTTTACTTAGCTGTAGTTTCGTGATTTTTCCGTGTACCTTTTCGTGCTGTCAACTTGACAGTTTACCCGCGATTACTGGTATCTGCGTATGGGAACTACTGATGAAATGATAAGTAACGGCCATTAGAA